CCGTCACATTATAACGCCCCTACGGCTGAAAGGGCGAGCATGTTTGGCGGGACGGGGATTCGAACCCGCGACCCTCAGATTCGAGCGACCTAACCACCTGGCCAATTGAAGTTAGTGAAGTAATACTGTATGGTGATTATCATGACGATTAAAGTGGTAGAACATGGTGACTGAAGTGATGGTGTGTGGTGATTATCATGGTGACTGAAGTGATGGTGTGTGGTGATTATCATGGTGACTGAAGTGATGGTGTGTGGTGATTATCATGGTGACTGAAGTGATGGTGTGTGGTGATTATCATGATGACTGAAGTGATGGTGTGTGGTGATTATCATGGTGACTGAAGTGATGGTGTGTGGTGATTATCATGGTGACTGAACTTGATGAAATGATACTGTATGGGAGGAATATAAACTCTTCAGTTCATGAATTCTGTATTACACCTTTTTTATCTATTGAGTAACAGCAATAGCCAATGTGAATGTTTTGCAACAACTAAATAAAATTTATGTTAAACTTCCATCTTTGTTAGGGTTGAAAGTTCAGTATGATTTATATTTCTTGTGAAATAATGTTTTATGGCTTCATCTGATGTTTATTGTAATAAAAATAAATCACTGCCTCATTTTCTTACAGATTCCAGATTCGTTTACCTTCTCAGTTAATGCAGTGCTGCCATCACGCAGAAAAACTGAAAAACTATCATAAATAAAGAAATATCTAAAAGAAAGACTTCAGAAGATAAAAAAAACAAAGAATACCAAGTACTCATCCTATACCTGGAAAAGATTAGTCTTCCATAGAGTCTTGACTAAAATGTATAAAAAAGTTTGTTATAACTCTTATAACCTCATAATAAGGACATTATCAATCTTGTATCTTATGTTTATGATATTTTATCAAAATCTTATCATCGCTTTAAAAGCAGTTTCAATATTGAAAAACAAGTACCTGAAAAACATATAGAACCAATACGAATTATAGGTTGAGATTCACAATGCACTGTTAAAACCGTTCTTATACTTGCATCAAATAAGGCTCGTTGATTTGGAGGAAAACATGAAACAATTGTTAAGTACTTCTGACTAAAAAGTTGTGTGTTCGTTCTTAGGTTGTTCAAGTTTATTTTTCATTGTTTCGCCCATTGTTGCATTTATTACTCACCATCTGCCAACCAAGATTATAACCTCATAGCGCTAAGTATTTGTTACGTCATAATTACAGATCATAGGTTAAATGCATGAATAATCCATGTTTTCAGAAGGAAAATATAAAGATTGTAAGAGAAGATGCAAGTTTTTGATACTGTATTTTTTCTTTGAGAAATTTCATTATGTAGTTATTCCGTTATGTTGAATTGTTCAAAGTTTATTATTAGTATGTGAAACAAGTGTCTTGAGATCGATTAAGCTCTTGTACTACAGTGAATTCCATATATTGCAGTAACCACGTAAAGCTGTTTGATTAATTTCTCCAAATGTGAAATAACATGAAGTATATACGTTTGTTGGACTGGAATTTATACGGCGTGGCCTCTTAACGCTAAAAGTCACTACAACTTTTTATAATTTAAAAGTTAACCAGATGACCTTGTCCAAAGTAGTTAACCCGATGACCTTGTCCCAGATGACCAGATCAACTTTGGATTTAATGTTGGAGTTATTAATTTTTGAGTTACTACGTTTTAAAACACGATAAAGGTGTCTTAACATTTGTGTGGCGATAATGCATTTCAATGAAAAATATATACATTTCCTCGTTATTATTCCACTCACTATCATTACAAATAGCTTACCTAACCTTAATGCATTTCCTGGATGAACCCTAACCAGTCTTATCGAGGACATTTCCTGCAACTAGTTTGTTTGTTTTTTTTAAATATGTAACGATTGACTAAAACTTGAAACCTATTTAGTAGTCGAGACCACGAAAACCTGACAACCTGTTTGGTTGTTGAAACCACTAAATCTGACAACCCATTCTGTAGTTGAAACCACTAAAACCTGACAACCTGTTTAGTTGTTGAAACCACTAAATCTGACAACCCATTTTGTAGTTGAAACCACTAAAACCTGATAACCTTTTGATAATTGAAACCTCTAAAACCTAACAACGTATTTAGTAGTTGAAACCACCGAAACCTAATAACTTATTTGGTTTCTAAAATTATTGAAACCTGACAACCTATTTAGTAGTTGAAACCACTGAAACCCGACAAACTATTTGATAGTTGAAACCTAATAAAGAGTGTAATGTAGTATCCTGTTAAATGTATGTTTAGAGCTCTATTGTTGTTTTGGAGTTTGGGTTACGTGGAAGCATGATTGTATAACGATCATGATATGAAAATGTTAGTTGTTTTAGTTATTTAGAGCACAACATGTTTTAAGTATAGTTTTGATTAATAGTTACGTGGGAACGGATATGTATAGTTTTTTCTCTTGTTTAAATTAGGTTTATATTAAGTGAACTGGATGTTGTAAAATTTTCCATGATGAATATTAGGAGGAACCTGTTTTTTTTTCCTCTTCTGTGATGTTTCTCTAGAAACCTATCACTACTAACTGATGCCTATAGTTTCACATGAAAAGTATTTATTAATAGCAAGAAATAATTAAATTTTTAATTATGATTATCTAACAATTTTTACCTTTTTTTGCGATTCGAGCGCATTTAATATATTAATTTAACAGAAAAAGTGGCCTAGGTTTATCTGTCAAAGCACGTAAGTAAGATAACCAAGTCCAGCTTTGCTCTGAGTCTGAGAGTATTGTTACACATATAATACGCGGTTTTAGGCTAACTTCATGCAGTCTTAAGTGACAGCGTGCCTTAAATATTAAACTGAGTGTAATGTACTCTCAAAATGTCTGTACATATTTCTATTTACTTTGTATTATTAATTACAATATTATTGTATTTTACACACACACACCAATATAGCACATTGAGTAGTTAGAAAATAACCAAAATTTCAGTATTGTTTTAATATTTACTGCAAAAATTACCTGCGCTCTCATAAATAACTCGTGGTATAATTCGCTTTGCTTCATAGACAGTGAATGGTAAATATAACAAATAGAACTAGTTAACTTATGACCGTTTTATATATATGTAATTAGCGTTATGGCCTTATTGTTTTTTGCGAATTGTAAGTCAATTATCGTTGATTATATGTAAGTAAAAAACATCTCAAGTTCAAAATTAGACCAAGTGTTACACTTGTAAGAAACCAATCGTATAGTTTTACTCTAGCTCAACTTTAGGTTTATATTTTTATTAAGAACATTGCAAAAAGCATTCCACGTATCAAAATACACTTAGTTACGTCAATTGATGCTCAATTTATAGCGTCACAGACAGTCGTGTGGGATTCTTAAAATAAGGAGAAAAACGACCAAGCAAGCCAGATAAAATGTGAATAATTCTGTTTGTTTTAACCAAGCAAGCCAGATAAAGTGTGAATAATTCTGTTTGTTTTAACCAAGCAAGCCAGATAGTGTGAATAATTGTTTGTTTTAACCAAGCAAGCCAGATAAAGTGTGAATAATTCTGTTTGTTTTAACCAAGCAAGCCAGATAAAGTGTGAATAATTCTGTTTGTTTTAACCAAGCAAGCCAGATAGTGTGTGAATAATTCTGTTTGTTTTAACCAAGCAAGCCAGATAAAGTGTGAATAATTCTGCTTTGTTTTGATATTTATCCATTCCACTTATAACTTACTATGTTAATTCAGTAAGTACTTGGAACTGGGTCTTTAAAAATTGTACTTGATTTGATTGTGTATAGAAACTAGCCACTTGGTACACAGGATTAAACGGTTAATCACCGATAAGAATTTTGCTTCATATAAGAAAGTTTCAGTTATAAATAAAATATAGAATATTGGCTGCCAAAATCAAATGTAGTTTATCAGTAATTTGTCTAACCATTTTCCGTAACGCTAGTCTCTGGTCTTAACCATCTTGAGCAACTTTAGTCTCTGGTCTAACCATTTTGAGTAACTTTAGTCTCTGGTCTTAACCATTTTCCGTAACGTTAGTCTCTGGTCTTAACCATATAGAGCAACTTTGGTCTCTGGTCTAACCATTTTCCGTAACGTTAGTCTCTGGTATTAACCATCTAGAGCAACTTTAGTCTCTGGTATTAACCATCTAGAGCAACTTTAGTCTCTGGTCTTAACCATTTTGAGTAACTTTAGTCTCTGGTCTAACAATCTTGAGTAACTTTAATCTCTGGTCTAACCATATTGAGTAACTTTAATCTCTGGTCTAACCATATTGAGTAACTTTAATCTCTGGTCTAACCATCTTGAGTAACTTTAATTTCTGTCTAACCATTTTCCGTAACGTTAGTCTCTGGTCTAACAATCTTGAGTAACTTTAATCTCTGGTCTAACCATCTTGAGTAACTTTAATCTCTGGTCTAACCATATTGAGTAACTTTAATTTCTGTCTAACCATTTTCCGTAACATTAGTCTCTTGTCTTAACCATCTAGAGCAACTCTAGTCTCTGGTCTAACCATTTTGGGTAACTTTAGTCTCTGGTATTAACCATCTTGAGTAACTTTAGTCTCTGGTCTAACCATTTTGAGTAACTTTAATTTCTGTCTAACCATCTTGAGTAACGTTAGTCTCTGGTCTTAATCATCTTTAGTAACTTTAGTCTCTGGTCTTAATCATCTTTAGTAACTTTAGTCTCTGGTCTAACCACGTTGTAAAACTTGAGTCTCTGGTTTAAACCATCTTCAGTAACTTTAGTCTTTGTGTATGCTATGAGTAACTTGTACTTCGCATGATTTACGAGTAATTCAAGCTCTACATATAGAATGTTTCATGACAGAACATTATGTTGATTTTTGTAAAGTGTTTCGAGATTTATTATTATTTTATTCTATATAATTATACAACTGAAGAGGGTATTCCATCACACATGCTTTTAAACATCAGAACGTTAGTAGAAGCAGAGAATAAATTTGTATTCATTATTTCTGCACACCCATGTAAAGAATGGTTTGCTTATATTGTAAGAAAAACCTGGTGCAGTTAGATTAAGATTAATTTAAATATACTGTAGACAGCTGTGTACTGTCCAGTGTTTGACAGAACGCTGTTTCCATATTTGTTATATTTTTTTAAAACGAAAGTTTAATGGGTTGAATAACACAAGTTATAATGTGATGCCTGTTGTCATCAGCCATGTTTTATCTTGTTTGTTTGGGGGACGTAATAGTCAATTTGTACATGCGTCCCCCAAACTTACTTTTGTCACAAGAGAAAATGCGAGTTTTTTTTTTTTTTTAGGTATAATGTAACCCACGGTTCGTAATCAGGATTTCTGCAGACTTACAACGCTAGAATCCGGTTTTCGATACCCGGGGTGGGCAGAGCACAGATAGCCCATTGTGTAGCTTTGTGCTTAATTACAAACAGTAACATCTTCATCAGATTTTAATCTGTGTACAGCTACTTTTAATGAATTGTCGAATGATTGTTAAACACAAATTGAAATAAAATTACACGAATATTGTGAAAAAAGCATTGTTTCCTAAGGTTGTGCCCATTTCAATTCTTAAACGTATGTTGAATATTTTAGATATTTAATTAATCACAGAATAAATGTATTTAAAATATACTAACAGTGCCTTTGTATATTACACTGAGTGTTTGGTATCATATGTATTTGAATATTTTTTAGTTCACATCGTAATATTTACGTAAAAAGAGTGAAATTCAGTTGACTTCGGTAGCCATACACGCATGATGCTTTATTCATTGAAATATATTACATTTAATGCATTGGAAATTTGTCCTGTACTGTTGATGTCCATGATTATAAAAACGGAGTAACATACGAAAATAAGCACAAATTGTTTCTAAAGTTTCAATAGTGACCTTTTCGTGTGATTATATACGAGATCTCCCTCTCCCCCGAAGTTCATAGTGACCTTTTTGTGTGATTATGCACGAGATCACCCTCTCCCCCGAAGTTCATAGTGACCTTTTTGTGTGATTATACATGAGATCACCCACTCTCCCGAAGTTTATAGTGACCTTTTTGTGTGATTATATACGAGATCACTTTCTCCCCCGAAGTTCATGGTGACCTTTTTGTGTGATTATGTACGAGATCACCCTCTCTCCCGAAGTTCATAGTGAAATTCCTCTTCATCCCTGATTCCTAAGTTCATATAGTGGACAATTGAGTACTAGATGACTCTTCCTTTCTCTGACATTCATATAGTGGTCTTTTGAGTTATTGTATGACAAGTCACTTCCTTTCGCTTACTCTTTAAGTTTTTTGTTATTGTGATATGGATTAATGTAAGCCAAGTCGCTTCTCGACCACCTCCTTTAGTAACCTTCTAAGTGGCTATCCAGCAGATCACTCATTCTTACCTTCCTTTCTAAGTTCATATAGTAGTCTGAGTAGCTGCCCACCAGGTCGCTCAGTCTCATCTTTCTTTCAAATTCACATAGTAGTCTGAGTAGCTGCACACTAGGTCACTCAGTCTCATCTTTCTTTCAAGTTCATATAGTAGTCTGAGTGGCTGTACACTAGGTCACTCAATCTCACCTTTCTTTCAAATTCATATAATAGTCTGAGTGGCTGTACACCATGTCACTCAATCCCACCTTTCTTTCAAATTCATATAGTAGTCTGAGTGGCTGTACACCATGTCATCCAGTCTTTCCTTCCTTTCTAAGTTCACATTGTAATCTTCTAAGTGGCTGTACATCAAATCACCCAGTCTCACCTTCCTTTTTAAATTCATATACTGAACCTGTTGGTAATTGGTAACCATAGTAAATTCTAAATTCATACACGTATGACTCTCAGTTATACATTTTAGCGTGTTGACTACAGAAAGTCAAAATGGATGAAATATATATATATATACAATTTCTTATGTAGCTTACGTTAGTAGCAGAGAACATTGCAGTGTATTTTATGTACCTGTAATATGTGATTTATCTACATTTTTTTGTCATTTATTGGAAGTTTTGCATAAAATGTAATGAAATACCTGAATGCTTACGCCATTGGAACACATCAGGCCTAAGCTGGTACAATATATCAAACTGGCATATGTGAGATTTAGTGCCTAAGTAGGCGAGGTCGTTCATCTGATAACTTAACGTGTTGTGTAAATTATTTTTCTGTGATATAACACACTATTTTATCTAAAGGAATTATCTTATAATATATTGCAGGAGGGTGTCTATATCTATGTGCGTGTACTCTGATGCACTTTTGGTATAACACTAAATAAAATGGTATAATGGAATAAATGTTTTTTTCGTTATCTTCTTTTTTTATGCTTTTATTATGACGTAAGTGTTTTAGAACATAAAGACACTTAGAAAAAAACCCACAAAACTCGAGAATCTTATTAACTTC